CTGAAAAATATGCTACCTCCACATGCTAAGCAATAAGCAACACAATACAGAAGAGATTAACGATAAGTCTTCTGCTTGACCCCCACCTCAGACTAACCTTGATTAAAGCTTTGTTCTTCCAGGACGTGTTAATCAAACTGCCATTGTACTATATTACAAGGTCTGGAATAAAACTAAATCATTTTCTGGCCCGGGGATTTGGCTCAGTGGTGCCACCACCTGCCTTGCAAGGGCAAGGTCCCAAATTCAATCCCCAGTACAAAAACAAAAAAACAAACTAGATCACTTCTGTAAACCAAGTTCTAGTATAGAGAAACAGAAATTGCAATAGAGAAGTTGATTAGATAGTTTTACTGCATAGAAGTTGATTAGATAGTTTTACTGCATCCTAATAATATAACAAAGGAACTTATTTTTAATCTCAGCCATAAAAGGGCATCATTTACCATCCCAGAAAGCAATTACAGAACTTGAACTATCATAGGAGAGGTACGCTCAGCAGTAGAGGGCACAACACATGAAACACCCTATGTTCAAGCCTCAGCACCAACAAAAAAAGAGAGATCACTAAGTTTTGTATAAGTTTTATCTAAAACAAAAACAGATATACTACAAATTTTGTCAACATACATGCCTTTGGAAAACACTAAACTGTATGCTAAAAGTGATATTTAAGTCACCACACACCCAAAGAAACTAAAGAGAAATAAGTTTTACTTACGACATTGGATTGTTATCTGGTAAGTAATATATGAAGTCTCTCATAGTCATTTTTGAGCGATCTGGTGGCATCTGGCTTTCATTTATGGCATATTTGTTTTTCCACTGTTTCTATATATACACAAGAAAACACAAAGATCTACTTTTATAAACACAGAATTTCAGATATATGTAAATATACAATCTACTGCTACATTCATCACAAGTGCTTTAATAGTATTCCTACTTCATCTGTGCCTAATTTTAGGAAAAAAAATCTTAAACTAAATATTAAAAAGTTGTAGTACATTACCTATAGTAGTTTTGAGTTTTTAAAAACTAAAGTGGCAGGCTGGGGATTTAGCTCAGTGGTGCTGCCACCTGCCCTGCAGGCACAAGAACTGAGTTTGATTCCCGTTACAAAAAAAAAAAAAAAAAAAAAGGTGGCTAGACATAGATAAAAATACATACCAAATCCTGTTTATGACAGTGGAGGTGTAGCTCAGGGGTAGAGCATTTGCCTAGTACACATGAGGCCCTGAATTTGATCCCTAGAACTCCAAGGAGAAAAAGGCATTCTACAATTAATAATAAGAGCTCACATTTTTTGGACACTTGCCATTTTTCAGACATCATTTTAAACATGTTTCGCTTGTAGATACTATTATTGGTTTTGCTTTTTTTTTCTTTCTTGGTACTGGGGATCAAACTCAGGACCTTGCACTTGCGAGGCAGGTGGCAGCACCACTGAGCTAATTCCCCAGCCCTATTTGTTCTATTTTACAAAAGAAAAAATAGACACAAAAAACTTCTTAAACTGTCCAATGTCATATAACTAGTAAGAGATAAAGTTAAGATTCAAAGCTTAAACTGGGTATTGCAGTACATGTCAGTACTCCCAGCAATTGGGAGGCTGTGACAGGACGATCACTCCAAGTTTAAGGTCAGCCTGAATGATATAGCTCAATCCTGTCTCAACGGGAAAAAAAGAGCCAGGAATGGTGGCACATCCCTGCAATCCCAGCACTAAGCAGGCTGAAGAAGGAGGATCATCACAAGTTTGAGCCCATCCTGGACTACATAGTGAATTCAAGTTCAAGGCCAGCCTACTAATCTATGCAGCCAGACTCTGTAGAAAGAAGGAAAGAAGGAAGGAAGGAGAAATTGATTGATTCAAAGCTTAATTCCAAAGCCAATATGCTTCACTACTGTCCTTGAAAAAATAAATTCAATCAAGATTTTTTAAAAATACTCTACTACATGCATTCCACAAATTTTTCCATTCACAATTTTCTATACTGTCTTTTTAAAGAACATTACTGGGCTGAGGATTTAGCTCAGTGGTTTGGTGGCCTGCCTTGCAAGCGCAAGGACCTGAGTTCAATACCCGGTACCAAAAAAAATAAAAAACATTACCAACTTATACTCTTCAATTATATTTGTCTTAATTCAAGTAAATATACCATGTGTCATCTGGGTATCTTTATATGAAAATCTGATTGAAGGTTTATTTCACAAATGTTATTAGGTATCTGTGTTTATAAAAATTTTTATTTGCTGTCCTTATCAAAAACTACAAATGAATAAAACATGTAAAACTTATTACAAGTTAAAAAAATAGTTTATAGGGCCAGGGATTTAGCTCAATGGTTCTGGTGCCTGCCTCACAAGCACAAGGACCCGAGTTCGATCCCCAGTACCAAAAAAAAAAAAAAAGTTTATGAAGGGTTGTCATGTGGAACCAGGCAAAACATTACACACCTGTAATCCCAGTACTCTGATCAGGAGACTGAGGCAGAACTGGAAATTTGCAAGCACCAAATCCTAACCACTAGACTACCATAGAGAGTGAATTGGAAAAAATAAATTTTTAAAAAGTGAATCAGAAGTCTGAGCCCAGTCTGAGCAACCTAGTAACATAAGAAGACCCTGTCTCAAAAATAAAAGTTTAAAAAAGAGCCTAGTATGTTGCTCAATGTGAAGGCCCTGGTTTCAATCCCCAGTACCACCAAAAACATGTCGTTTGGTTTGTTCCTCTCAAAGGATACCACAAATGATTCCACAGTACCCTAAAAACAGAAATCTACAAGGCAATGTGAAAATTATAATTTCCCCCGCTTACCTTCTCCTTTCTCAATTCTTCTTTTAACATTTCCCGTAGTTTCTGGGCTTTGTATATTCGGTATCTATCTGAGCATAGCTGTTTCTCTTTTATTTGAACAGGGTTTGACTGTGGAACATCCTGATTAACTGTAGGTAAGGGAGGAGATTGTGAAGGAACATTGACGCTAGGTTTAACTAGACTAGAAGTACTTGATAGTCGCCTTCTTCTCTGGGAAACAGCAGAGGATGAAGTACAGGATTCTTCAACATTATTTTCACCACCGATCTTTTCATCACTGTTGAAATTTTTAAAAAGTACCATTAATCTTTTTATATATGCTAGTTTTAAAGCCTAGTGTGAGCCAGGTATTGTGGCGCACAACTGAAATCCAGCATGTGGGAGGCTGAGGCAGGAGAATCAAGACTTTGAGGTCAGCCTGGGCTACATACCAAGTTCAATGCCATCCTGAACTATTAAATGATAACCTGTCTCAAATACATACATACATCGGGGCTGGGGGTTTGGCTCAGTGGTTCTGCTGCCTGCCTTGCAAGCACAAGGGCTCACGTTTGATCCCCAGTACCCAAAAAATAAAAAAAGATTTAAAAATACATACATACATCATACATACATAAGACCAAGTCTGATAAAATTCCAAAGCATTAAAGCTTCATTATTTAATTTTTAAAAAGCAAAAAGAATTAACATGTTGTATACATATAGCAACTCACCATGAATGTAATGTAAACATGTATTAATAAAAATAAATTTTTTTTAAAAATCAATCTAGGCATAAGAATACATGCCTATAATTCCAGTACTCTGGAAGGCTGAGGCAGAAGAATTACAATTTCAAGCGAGGCCTGGGCAATTTAGCAACCTTAGCAAGACCCTGTCTCAAAATTTAAAAGGTAGCAGAGTTTTGGAAAAATGGTGTGGCAGTTAAGTGCCAGCAACTCAGCTTCTCCCAGACAAAGTATCTAGAATCTAGAAAATAGTAGTTTAGGGCAAGAGATTCTGCTCAGTGGTTTCAGCGCCTGCCTTGCAAGTGCAAGGGCCTGAGTTCAATCCCCGGTACAAAAAAAAAAAAAAAAAAAAACAGTACTTTAGAGCATTATCAAAGTGAAAGGAGGTTACCCTGGACCTATGAGGGAATGGGGCAGGGGGTGATACATAAGAAATAAAGGAGGGGAACCTTGCAAACCTTGCAAAACTTGCTGCCAGCCAACCAAGACAAAGTGAAACCACCCACTTGCACTCACAGAACCGGACAACCACATCGGGACTGAGAGATGTAGCAGCAGTTAGAGCCGCAAAGAAAATATGGCATACTACTTTTCCAGAGTGGCCTTCCACAGTCAACATGGATGAGTGACCCTGGTACAGTGCCCACAGCACAGCTGTGAAGGAGAGCTAGCAGGGACCCCACTGTAGGGAAGAGTCAGTGCTAGAACCTGGGTCCCCCAGCACCCTCTTGGCTTCAGGCTGAGCAACACACTGTCAAGTTCCCAGAGTGGATGGGTGAAGCACAGCCATAGGACAGCTGTGAATTGGAAAGCAGGCTGCAGGAAGTCCTGCTGGGGGGCTGAGGCTGATGAACATGGACCTGCAGTCAGAGGCCAGGTTCAGCCTGAGTTACACATAACTGGAAGCTCACATTGGTGCCTGTTCTCACCATGGAGGTCTACACCCAACACCATTCCGGTGGTAGACTGCCACCGCAGACTTTCAGCATGAACACAGAAGCATCCTGGCTTTAAACCTAGGCTGAGAAAAAGAGCTACACTTCCAAAGCAACAGAAAACGTTTTTATTATTTTTTATTTTATTGTATAATTCTTTCCAATTTTAGTACATGTGCTGCTGTAGCAAGCACTATAAATCTTTATTTAAATTTCTCTTCTTTCACTGTTTTCTTCCTATTCACTTTTCCCCATTTTTATTCCATTATTTTCCCCTTTTTTCTTTTATGAGCATGTCTGTTTGTGTATGTGTGTGCTTCTCTTCCTCTTGTCTTTTTCTTCTAATATAGTTTATAGAAGTTAAAGCAATTCTCCCTTGGCTCTTTACACCCCTCCTACCTTTATCTTTTTGCCTGACTTCTTTCTCCTGTTTTGTATTGTCTCAAATTTTCCTTTCTTTCCTCTTTCCCTTTTCATTCATGTCTCTTTAGCTTTTTCTAATATTTATATCACTCAGTCAGAATCTTTTCCCATACCCCTTTCTCACAACCAATTTTGTACCCAATTTTCCCTGTTATCCCCATCTAAATATATAACAAACCTTTACTATCATTACAATCCTTTTCATCCCTATGTCCTCTTTCCCATACCACAGAACAGAGATCTTAAAAAAATAAATAAATAAATAAATAACTTTTCTTTTTTCTTTTTTTGTCTTTTTTCTTTTTTCCCTTCTCTACCCACCTTCTGGCATTACCTAGTCCCCAACTCCCTGGGCTTTAGATAACTGAGTCTATAAAACCACTGCTGAATGCTGGTTTTTGCCATTAGAGGAGACACAGCCATTGCTTTTAGTGAATATTAACTGTACCTCAATACTTGAGTTGTCATGATGCTTTCAGTATAATCATGGCTTTCTTCTCTAGGCTAAAGGAAGACCCTCAACAGGCTCTTACATTACTCCTCAACTAGCCCTGATAGACACCACTATAACAGATTAGCCTATTACTACTATAGCTGATTTGATTACACCAGAATAATCCTGACTCACTGGACAATTTCATGCCAGTGAATCTGTCTGCCAATTCTGCCATCACATCCAAAGAAAGGGAAAGCAAGAGTCCCTAACTCAAGAACTTCAACTGGATCAGACTCTGCAAGAATGCCTGCAGCCTGGCAGAAAGAAGTCCTGACACTGAGTTAGTTTCAGTATTGTGGTTGAAGGATCAGGAATCACTGGGGTGTCAGCATTCAGACTCTCTGGCAAAGCAGCTACTTGGGAATCACATCTCACTGGAGTATTTATTCTGTGTTCCCATCGGACATCTTACAGTTTTTGCATGTTTCTTGATTTATTTGGTAACATGGGGTTATGATATGTTCCTTTATAGTTTGTGTGTGTGCATGTGTGTTTTTATTAGGTTGTTACTTTTGTGTATTAGTTCTTTCACTGGCTCTCATTTAGGTGTCTAGGTTCTCTCATCTCAGCTCCCTATCTTCTTTTTTCATTTTAACACCCTGAAACAATAGAACATATTTCTTTATTCTTTTTCCAAACACATAATCTCCTGCTCCCAAATTTTTAAATTTGCTATATTTAGCTCCCTCACATTCATACTTATCTTCTCTAGTATTAACCCTCAATTCTCCCCATCCTATACCTTTGGCTCTTCCCTATCTTACCTAACTTATTATTCTCCCTCATCAGCTAACAATCACACAGATTTCCTCAGTCACAAAATCTCCTTTCTCCTATATCTCACCCTTGTCCCCACAAATATCCTCCGAAAACTTTCAATAATAAACCTTCAACTAAAAGTGCTCCAATAGAATCAGACCCCATATCAACCTTTTCTCATCTACCATTATTCCCCCACTTCAAACCTCTCCCTTAGTTTCTTTTTCTGTCCCCCTCTCTTAGTTTCTAACATTCCTCATCCAACTACCTCCCATTCTTTTTTTTTTTGTTGTTACTGGGGATGGAACTTAGGATCTGTGCTTGTGCTTGCAAGGCAATTGTGGTGCCACTGGGCTAAATATCGGGCCCTAACCACCTCCCTTTCTTCTCACCCCACCTCAACTACCTCACTATAGAACAATCAAGAATAATAAACTGTCATAGTGTACATAGAGAATAAACAAAAGAGGGGAAGTTTAACTGCAAGATCTATCACGCAAAACATACAGACAGAGTCCAAATCACTTAAAGCAAATAACAAAGACAAGCACCGGACATAAAGCTGAAAGGGAGCATCCTACTACAGATCTTCATATAAGCCACATACTCATTTCTCTAGTCCTCAACCTGCAGTACTCCCTCAAAAGAGAGGGATGTATTTTTTTAATTGTACACACACACACACACACACATACACACACACACACACGCGTGTGTGCCCCATATTCTCCTTATTCTCCCAAGGCAGAGCAAGGGGCCACCAAAGGAGAAGAAAACAAACGCCAAGTGGCAGAAAATCTAAGAAAAGTTCACAGAAGAAATGAAGAAAACAGAAAATTTCAAAAAGAAAATGAACCAAAAGTTTACAGCAATTTCACTCAATATGCACATAGTGAGTTTCAGTGAAATAGGTAAAAAACTGGACAATCTAACATAAACAGTTAAAATTTTGAATGACAGATTCAACAGGATATGGTTTGAGGATATCCTCAAAAAGATGACACAAATGCCTGAAATTTAAAAAAAAAAACAGCATAGAATTCATACATTGCAAAAACAACCAAAATGTGAAGACAGTATCTGATATTGAGGACAAAATAGTGAATTACACACACACCAAAAAAGTGAATTACAATGAAGAACTCAAAGAAGCCAAAAAGAAAGTAAGAGAAGACTATCCAGCAGCTACCAGATGACAATAAGACTAATCTAAGGCTAGAGAGAAACCAGACGATCACACTGATGAACTTATTAACATGTTTACACAAGTCGTAGAAGAAAAATTTCCAAACATGAGTTTAAAATACAAGTAAGCAATACTTATAGAACACTAAATAACTATGACAAAAAAAAACACAAAGCAAACAAACAAAAAAGACTAAATAACTTCTCACCCAGATTAATTTATCCAATAAAGCTATCCTTCAAAATAGACAGAGAAATAAAGTATTTCCATGAAAAAGATCAACTCAAAAGATATATGAGTACAAAACCAGCTCTTGAGAAAATATTTAAGAATATTCTGGACAAAAACAACAAATCAGGGACTGGGGATTTGGCTCAATGGTTCCGCCACCTGCCTTGGAAGCGCAAGGGCCCAAATTCAATCCCGGTACCAAAAAAAAAAAAAAAAACACAAAAACAACATATCAGACAACTACAAACACACAAAACTAGCAATGTCAATGGATAAACAGCAACAAAAAACATCAGGAAAAGAAAAACAAAAGATTCACCTAAAAAGAAGTCAACAATAGTATATAACCAACACATCTCAGTAATCTCCCTCAACTTTAACAGCTTCAACTCTCCAATTAAAAGACACATTGACAAGGACAAGCTGGCGGGGTGGTGGCACACACCTGTAATCCCAGCACTCGGGAGGCTGAGGCAGGAGGATCGCTGTGAGTTTGAGAACAGCCTGGACTACGTAGTA